CTTCAGATCTTCAGTCTGACGCTCTCCCAACTGAGCTATCTCGGCAAGTGATGAACATGTAATGATTCTTGCAATTAAATTCATATACTTAGACGAAACATCGAATTTAAAAAGTTCATTTTTGATAAGTCAGAATTTTATCCCTTTTAGATGCATTTCCTCAATTTCAGTTTTAAAGGGAAAAGTTTAACTTACTAACGATGTAATAATACTGACTTTATTAAAGGAAGAAAAAGGAGAAAAATAACAAGTTCCTGCCTGAGGATTCCAACCTGTGCTAGTTTGATCAGGTGTTCTATGTACTGAGTTACAGGGAACTCGTCAATACCTTTATTGAAAAATATACGATACCTGAAAAGATATCAAGCATTAACTGTAAGCGTTGGAATAAAAGGGGTAAGGTGACGAGTTCCTGTCTGAGGATTCCAGTATGTGCTGTTTTGATCAGGTGTTCTATGTCCTGAGTTGTAGGGAACTCGTCGATAAGATGAGCCATCTTGCCAAGTTCGTAAGTGAAAAGTGTCCTACTCAGCAGTAGGAGGATCTTCCTTGACAGCACTATCTCATTACGAAGGATACCTTCCCTCTTTTAAGATCCAAATTTTTATTGAAGCATGAAATCTAACCTAAAGGTTCCCTGGGCTCTGTCTGTGTGTAATACTGATAGAGGTTCAAAACATCACTGAAAACTATTTTTTGTAAGTATTTTTGCAGGAGTAAAGTAATCAAGTCAAAATGCTTAACTGGTTTACCCATAGCGTTTGTGGACATTTCTTTAACTTGCAAGTCATTATGAATTGACAATCACACAGGAAAGAAACTCTTTGAAAAGTCAAACGCCATCAGGAAAAATCTAGCTCGAAAATAAAACAAAAGCACAAAAGAAATCATTTTAAAAAAGGAAATGCCGAGACCCGGGATTATTCAGAGCTCAATTTAGCTTTTTGGCATTGAACCAGGGACCTTCAGATCTTCAGTCTGACGCTCTCCCAACTGAGCTATCTCGGCAAGTGATGGGATGATGTGTTACGTTATAGGTGACAATTAGTTCTGATTACAGCCACGCGAAGCATGGAATTTGAGAAGTTCATCTTTAATGAGTCAGCAGTTTATCCCTTTCCGACTCTCTTCCTCAATTTCAGTTTTAACGGAAAAGTTCAACGTAGTAACAATGTAATAGAACTAGTTATAATGAAACATATTCTGTCATGAAAAGATATCACGCTTTCACTGAGAGCATTGGAGGAAAATAAGAAAAAAATATCAAGTTCCTGCTTAATTGTTCAAACGTTGGCTGGTTTTTGCAGTCAGGTGCTCTATGCACTGAGCTTGGAGGTATCTCGTTTTGAAAGTGAGCCAACTTTCTGAGTTAAACTGAAGAAAAAGTATGAATAAAATTTAGAAAAATGAAATGCCGAGACCCGGGAATTTGGAAAGTTCATCTTTGACGAATCAGCATTTTACCCTTTCAGAGGCATCTCCTCAAGTTCAGTTTTAAGGGAGAAGTCTAATTTACTATCAATAAAACGAATATTTATACAGGATGGCCTTAAAGAGCAAGAGTACTGTTATCAAAGGGACCCTGTTAAAAAACGAAAAATATAAGGATAAAAATTAAAAATAAGATAAAAATGACTTCATTACTTATGCTAATATATCAAGCGCGAACCTAAAGCAAAAACACAAAGGAATTTTTTTTCAGAGCTCAATTAAGCCCTCCGGCATTTAACCAGGGACCTCTGACGCTCTCCCAACTGAGCTATCTCGGCTAATTATGAGATAGAAAGGTGCTTTTTTTAATATTGTTTATGCGGAATACTCCCAGACGAAACATCGTTCACCTTGGACGACTGGAGTCAATATTTCATCCCTTTCTGATACATTTCCTCTCTCATAATTCTAAGGGAAAAGATTAACATACTATCAATGAAATGAAAATATACTATTATGAGAAGATATCGAGCATGTATCATCGAGCAAGTATCATGTGCGTTAAAAAAAAAGGGGGGGAAGGATAAATTAGAAGTTCCTGATTCGAATCTTAGCTGGGTTTATACAGTCAGTTATTCTATCCACTAAGTTGCGGAGCAATCTTCAAGTGCAGAGCTTTCTAGCTAAGTTAAACTAAAGCAAAAACACAAATGAAATCATTTTGAAAAAGGAAATGCCGAGACCCGGGATTATTCAGAGCTCAATTAAGCTCTCCGGCATTGAACCAGGGACCTTCAGATCTTCAGTCTGACGCTCTCCCAACTGAGCTATCTCGGCAAGTGATGAACAAATAATGATTCTTGGAATTAGAAACATATACTTAGACGGAACATCGAATTTAAAAAGTTCATTTTTAATAAGTCAGCATTTTACCCCTTGCAGATGCATTTCCTCAATTTCAGTTTATTCAGTTTAAAGGGAAAAGTTTAACTTACTAACGATATAACAATACTGACTTTATTAAAGGAAGACAAATGGGAAAAAATAACAAGTTAAATAACAAGCCTGAGGATTCCAACCTGTGCTGGTTTGATCAATTGTTCTATCTACTGAGTTGCAGGGAACTCATCAATACCTTTATTGAAAAATATACGATACCTGAAAAGATATCAAGCATTAACTGTAAGCGTTGGAATAAAAGGGGTAATGTGACGAGTTCCTGTCTGAGGATTCCAATATGTGCTGTTTTGATCAGGTGTTCTATGTCCTGAGTTGCAGGGAACTCGTCGATAAGATGTGCCATCTTGCCAAGTTCGTAAGTGATAAGTGTCCTACCCAGCAGTTGGGGGGATCTTCCTTGACCGTAATCTCATCACGAAGAATACCTTCCCTCTTTTAAGTTCCAAATTTTTATTGAAGCATGGAATCTAACCTAAAGGTTCCTCATGTTCTGTCTGTGTGTAATACTGATAGAGGTTTAAAACATCACCGAAAACTATTTTTTGTAAGTATTTTTGCGGGAGTAAAGTAATCAAGTCAAAATGCTTAACTCTTTTACCCATAGCGTTTGTGAACATTTCTTTCTGAAAAGTCAAACGCCATCAGGAAAAACTTAGCACGAAAATAAAACAAAAGCACAAAAGAAATCATTTTAAAAAGGAAATGCCGAGACCCGGGATTATTCAGAGCTCCGTTACGCTCTTCAGTATTGAACCAGGGACCTTCAGATCTTCAGTCTGACGCTCTCCCAACTGAGCTATCTCGGCAAGTGATGAGTAAGACATGTGATTCTTAGAATCAATTTCATATACACTTAGACGAATAGTTTAACGTGCTGCTGGGAACCTTGCTTGGGAATATCATCACATCTCGATGATATCCTCCCTCTTTTGAGCTCTTAGAAACACACTTAAGCTAGGCAGATCCTTGTTGTGATATGAAATGACTCAAGTTGAAGATAAGGATGTTATTATCGTGGGAGTTGAAATGCGGGGATTTCATTTACGAGCCAGATCAAATTCTACGTTTACATATAACTACATCCCTTCGTAAGACTAAGATCATTTTTTTTTTTGCATAGAAATGAGCTCATAGGACGAACATTAGAATCTCCGCTTTCTTTATAGCTTTCTGACTGATCCTATTTGGTTATGTAATCTTCCACGATTGTATCTCGTTCACTCTTTCACATGAAAGTAATGACACACAACTTCTGTTTTTATTCATTATTTCTTGTGACTGGGGGACCGCCTTTTACAAAATACCCCTATTTTTCTCCATTCAACGTCATATATATAATCATCACCAACTGATAATTAATCGCTAAAGAATATTTTGTACATCACCCTTCACCCCTCATATCTCACTTAATAACATCATTTAATTAATGCAACGACTAGTCAGAGCACGATAAAATAACGCCAGGAGCCAGTGATAGCTCAAAGTAAACACAAGTACACGACTTCAAGTGAGAATTAACGCTAATGAACAAGACAAGATTGGCTTTGGTTTTTATCAGATTAGTTGAGAGGATGGCGCAAAATTTCTAAACAAAACACAAGGTGGAGCAAGGTAAAACCAATGCGATCCTGTATGGCTCACGCCGACACTGAACTGGAAGTTACTTTAAAAACTCAAGTAAGAGAAAATTGAGTATATTCAGCAGGTGTAGGGTTGTATAGTGACTTCTGGTCAAATTCTCCTTATAATCACTCAGGTGGCACATGGTACATAGTACATGCAGCTAGAACAAACACTTTTGAAACAAATTAGCAGGTGGAAGGTTCTATGTTGACTTCTGACCAAATCTTCCTCACAATTACTCAGATAGTGCATGGTACATACAGCTTGGACAAAGAATTTTGAATTAATCTCGAGAAGTTTAAGGGTTATTTTGTTCAGCCTGAACGGTTGTCACGTAGTCAAAATTACAATTCTGAATCTTCCTAGTAACATTGTATTTCAGTCTCCAAAGTAGTGGTTGAATTTCAACCTTAGAAATGGTAGGAAGTAGGGTTGTATCAGTTAAGGTTACATCCAGGTGGTTTGATCTCATACCAGGTCTGACAAGAAAGTATTGTCTAATCACAATAACTTTACATTGTAAAGTGCAAAGTGTAGATAAACACTGAAAAGTAAATCTTAAAATCTGAAATGTCTACATTTCACTTTCATCTCTTTCTGTCAAACCACAGCCTAGATTCAGTCTCGCTAATTCTCTCTTACTCTCTCTTTCACCCATCTCCACCAAGGAGGTCAAGTGCTGCACTTATGGCAGTACGTCAAAAGTAACTTGTAGACAAGCCTTCATTTCCTTAACTCCCCAACAGATGGAGAGAGAAAGAGCCTTGAATGAGGTTTCCCTGTTCCCCTGGTATTAACCAATTCATTCTTAAGATCTCTGTAGTAATTCTCCTTACTATCTGCTTTACGATTCTTATGATGTTACCTCGGAGAATTTGGTATTGGATCAACCAGTGATCCCCTAATAGATATTTTTCTTGTTATTGTATTGATATCATAAGGAGAAATTCGGCCTTGGTCACTCATGAGAGGTAGAAAGTGATGGGTTAATATGAGTACTGATATATGCAATCAGCAACATTATGTTCTACTGGGTCATCAAGGGTGCGAGAAGTTAGCACATAAGTTGGAATCTCAGGGGAAATCCTTTCAGGAATTCCATATTTAAAGTCTAAGTGTCCTGAGCCGCAGATTCCAAGAATCCTTGTGTGTCCCTCTGACTTCTGAACAATATCCATGATCGTATATGCAAATGAACTATCTCTTAGAACCTGTGCGGGAAAAATGCGACGGTACTTGTCGACAACTTGGTCTAGGTTTCCACTGATCAATCCTTGAAAATACCTGTAATGATCCTCAGAACCATCGACATAAAATTCTCTGGGCGGGCCTCCAGTTTGTTCAATTTTTTCCAATGCGCGTGTCTTTCCCTCCTCAACAATCATTCTACAAAATGGCTTTGGCACAAATCCAGCCACAAGCTTAGCACCAAGTGATTTGGAAACTTCCAAAATGTATCCATAATGCTCCATAGAAAACCCCTCTGTCCCATTATATTCATTTCTTAATTCTTCTAAAGAAATTTCATTGGCTTGATAAGCATCCAGTAAAGGTTGTTGCTGTAGGTTGAACATTTCTAAGACGACAGTGACAGGGAATGCGCCATGTGACTGTTCTATGCTCTGAGACACCATTCTTTCAAGGACACACAGTTGAGCTTTCAGGATTGATGGCTGATGATGCTGTTCACCAAATAGAACTGCAACAAGATAAAGAAGAATGAGAGAGATTGCACAGTAAACACACCCTTTCTCAATACGTAACAATGGGTTTATCAGTAAGTAAGTGTGGACGAAATACTACCGTAACGATAAAAAAAATGAGAAAACTTTAAGTTCGCAAGATATTAGGTAACAGTCCAATCACAAAGAAAACTTCGAATCTGTGGGATACTGACGCAAACATCAAATCACAGAAAAAACTACAGGTGCGCGAGATACTAACGTAACAATCAAATTACAGAAAAAAACTGCAAGTGCGCGAGATACTAAAGTACCAATCAAATGACAAAAAAAACTACAAGTGCGTGACATACTAACATAACAATCAAATTACAGAAAAAAAATACAATTGCGCGATATACTAACGTAATAATCAAATGACAGAAAAAGACTACAAGTGCTTGAGATACTAACGTAACAATCAAATTACGGAAAAAAATACAAGTGCGCGAGATACTGACGTAACAATCAAATTACAGAAAAAAGACTACAAGTGCGCGAGATACTAACGTACCAATCAAATTACAGAAAAAGACTACACGTGCGCGAGATACTGACGTAACGATCAAATTACAGAAAGAACTACAAGTGCAGAAAAAGACTTCAAGTGCTTGAGATACTAACGTAACAATCAAATTACGGAAAAAAATTACAAGTACGCAAGATACTAACGTAACAATCAAATGACAGAAAAAGACTACAAGTGCGCGAGATACTGACGCAAACATCAAATTACAGAAAAAGACTACAAGTGCGCGAGATACTAACGTAACAATCAAATTACAGAAAAAGACTACAAGTGCGCGAGATACTAACGTACCAATCAAATTACAGAAAAAGACTACACGTGCGCGAGATACTGACGTAACAATCAAATTACAGAAAGAACTACAAGTGCAGAAAAGGACTACAAGTGCTTGAGATACTAACGTAACAATCAAATTACGGAAAAAAATTACAAGTACGCAAGATACTAACGTAACAATCAAATGACAGAAAAAGACTACAAGTGCGCGAGATACTGACGCAAACATCAAATTACAGAAAAAGACTACAAGTGCGCGAGATACTGACGCAAACATCAAGTTACAGAAAAAGACTACAAGTGCGCGAGATACTGACGTAACAATCAAATTACAGAAAAAGACTACAAGTGCGCGAGATACTGACGTAACAACCAAATTACAGAAAAAGACTACAAGTGCGCGAGATACTAACGTAACAATCAAATTACAGAAAAAGACTACACGTGAGCGAGATACTGACGTAACAACCAAATTACAGAAAAAGACTACAAGTGCGCGAGATACTAACGTAACAATCAAATTACGGAAAAAGACTACAAGTGCTCGAGATACTGACGTAACAATCAAATTACAGAAAAAGATTACAAGTGCGCGAGATACTGACGTAACAATCAAATTACAGAAAAAGACTACAAGTGCTCGAGATACTGACGTAACAATCAAATTACAGAAAAAGACTACAAGTGCGCGAGATACTAACGTAACAATCAAATTACGGAAAAAGACTACAAGTGCTCGAGATAGTGACGTAATAATCAAATTACAGAAAAAGACTACAAGTGCGCGAGATACTAACGCAACAATCAAATTACAGAAAAAGACTACAAGTGCTCGAGATACTGACGTAACAATCAAATTACAGAAAAAGACTACAAGTGCGCAAGATACTGACGTAACAATCAAATTACAGAAAGAACTACAAGTGCACGAGATTGAAGAAATGTAAAATGGTTTCCGTGTTTACATAGCCTGATTTAAAAACGCGGGAGGTTGGGAGAACACGAGATAAGCGTAGGAAACCACGACGCGAAGCGGAGTGGTTTCCAGCTTATCAATCCAGCGTAACGATCAAATTACAGAAAAAGACTACACGTGCGCGAGATACTGACGTAACGATCAAATTACAGAAAGAACTACAAGTGCAGAAAAAGACTACAAGTGCGCAAGATACTAACGTAACAATCAAATGACGGAAAAAACTACAAGTGCGCTAGATACTAACGTAACAATCAAATGACAGAAAAAACTACAGGTGCGCGAGATACTAACATAACAATCAAATTGCAGAAAGAACTACAAGTGCGCGAGATACTAACGTAACAATCAAATTACAGAAAAAGACTACAAGTGCGCGAGATACTAACGTAACAATCAAATTGCAGAAAAAAAAACTACAAGTGCGCGAGATACTGACCTAACAATCAAATTACAGAAAAAGACTACAAGTGTGCGAGATACTAAAGTAACAATCAAATGACGGAGAAAAACTACAAGTGCGCGAGATACTAACGTAACAATCAAATGAGAGAAAAAACAAGTGCGTGAGATACTAACGTAACAATCAAATTACAGAAAGACCACTAGTCCGCGAGATTTCAGTCATGTTTAACCTTGTAACTCCCAAGATCTGATCGTTAATTCTCTGATTGCTATTTCCAGCCCAGCCCTACCAATGCCATCACATGCGGCTCTTACATAACATTTTGGTTTTTCGATAACAATGTGAACGGGGCTCTACAGGTCATGTGGTACAGTGAACTATGTATGTAAAGTGAATTACTCCCTGTGATCTGGCAGCAGAAGTAAATTGTGAAAAATTTGTTTTGAATTTTCTTCATTACAGTCAAGTTTCAGTTTGAAGTACATTACGTGTATAAACCATAGGCTTAAAGAAAGAAAGTCATCACTTTCCAGATGTACACTGCAATATACTTCTTAACAAATACATAATCCAAAGAAAGTTTACCAACAGATAAGTAGGAAAGTTTCATTTCCAACCCCTTAAAGACAATCTACAGCTGATAAATGTGTAACTAAAATGTTACACTCCCAATAGAATACCCAGGTGAACTTTACTTTGCTTTTGCAGTAAATTTTTGAATGTAGGAGTCAAAGGCTATCATGGCATAGGATCATGCAGAGCAGTCCTCTAAACTGTTACTCTATTCAGATTTTTGTTAACCTCAATGGAAGTCACCATCAGAGTTAAGCGAAGGGTTCCCTGTTAGTACACTGTTGTAGGTCAGGCTCATGAAAACTGAATGATCAGTTTTATCTCACTTAACTTGGGAGATGAATTCTACTTTGACACAATAATTTTCACACACTATTGCAAACAGTGAACACTAACACACCAATAGTAGCATTTTTTGCCTCAGACATCACATTGTCAAATGTTAACTTAGATCCAGGCCTCCTGGCTGAGACAAAACGTAATGACTTTGACAACTTCCTCAGGTTTCCTCTGAGAGATGAATTGAGATTAGTCCACCCTGCCTGCAAAATAACAGAACAATAAACCAACTGTATTTCTCCATTTGCAAAACAAATTTTGATAATAGCTAATCGAATATCAAATATTACTCATCAAATGTGCCCATTCATCCTCATCCCAAATTGAAATTTATTGGATAGATGTTTCAAGTAATAATGCCTAAAATAAATTTGATGCATCTTGCACTCTGAGAGTATGTCTTGAGCTTTTACACCCAAACATCAGTAAGCATATTCTCCACATTGTACTTTTGTATGTTTCCTTTGAAACTGAAAAGGAACATTTGTTTTAAATCTATTTGGGGGTTAACCCTTTAACTCCCAAGATCCCATTAGTAATTCTCCTTACTGTCTGCCAAATAGTTCTTGTAATGTTAGTTTTGAGAATTTGTTATTGCATCAACTAATAATTCCCTAATTAATATTTTTATTTATTTGCATCACTTGTCTACTTGATATTGTATTGATATTGTAAGGAGAAATTCTGTCTTGGTCACTCATGGGAGTTAAAGGGTTAAAGGACCACTGAAATGAGGTTTTGACAGTTTTGCTTGTGGTAGTAAAACCCTTGTTTATGTATCACTGGTAGAATTATTTATTTGCATCACTTGTCTACTTGATATTGTATTGATATTGTAAGGAGAAATTCTGTCTTGGTCACTCATGGGAGTTAAAGGGTTAAAGGACCACTGAAATGAGGTTTTGACAGTTTTGCTTGTGGTAGTAAAACCCTTGTTTATGTATCACTGGTAGAATTTTTTTTTCCTTTTTGAACTGGATCTAGATGACATTTTGAAGTGTCCTTTGCAGTCACTTTTAGTGCAGTCATAAATGTCCATGTACTACATACATATACTTGTAAGTAGGATAACCAGACAATATTGCTCCAGTGCTAAGGAATTTCAATAATTTCTTTTCAGCAGTACATGGATCAATAAGGCTACATGGGTACATTTAGGGTTACACTCAAACTACAAACTGTATTTTTCTTGATTAAAAACCCAGTGAATTTATTTAAAACATGGACTAATGAACCTGGCATTCACATGAGACAGATATCTAGACCAGGCCCTAAGTTTACCAATAGAGTGCAATTTTGCGTGACTTTTTCATGTTGATTTTTCATACCCAATGCTCTGAGACCCAGGAATGGTTGTTTGAGATGGCAATGTTTTCCCTCTTCAACCAGCCAGTACAAGCTGTTGCTGGTTCTTTTCTAAGGATCATTCTTTTCTTTAAACATTGTCATGAAAAAATTTCAGTTATTAACACAGCAGTTTCTCAAGGGGAGCTATTCATTGGAGTGCCATTACCAGTCACTTTCCCCAAAAATTAGGGCAGACACCCCATTAGTTACCCTAATGCTCAAACATTTCCTTTGCCATTTACTTTTCAATTAGGAGGTTTACAACAGCATTCACATGAGGCTGGTATTTGATCAGCAAACCATATTTGGTTAAAAAAAGAAGTAATTACTAGGTATAAAATGATGATCAAGTGCTACACTTGTGGTACTAATTTCTGAAGAATGTGAAAATCCACTACATAATAAATATCTCTACAAATGTCCACGAAAGTGTGAAATTGCATGCATATCTAACCATCAAACAAATGACTTCTTGCAGGTAAAATGACAAGACATGACATGTTGCCAAGAAAATATAAGGGTTTTTATATCGCTTACACATCCTAAAAATGACTAGGGTAACCTGCTTCCTTTCCCACATCAGTGAGGTTTTAAGGAAGCTCAACTTAAGACATATTTTGGTGTAAAATAGCACTTGTCACAGATCTTTCTCCTTACAATTTTGTTAACAATGCCAAAACAAGGGCTGATGTCAACCCCTTTAGTAGTGTATGCATTCCTTTAAAATAGGAACTGGCTTCTCAAAAATGTTCCAAATAAAATTCATTGTTGTTTAATCAAGAGGCCATATATTTCAAGGTGTATCTTGAAAGTGGTCTGAAGCAATAAGTATCACTCTCCGGAAAAAAAAGCACACGCTAATTTAGCAAACTAAACAATAGAGGGCCACTAATGAACATCTTGCTGAATCAAAATATTGCCTATTGTTGGCATTCCGCGTTCTTTAAAAGACTGCCTGCTGAGAGGACTTCAAAGACAATAAATTCTAATTTTGATCTTTTCCACGCTGGTGCTTCTTCACAAGATTCAATAGCTAAGTGCCCAAGGGATATTATGGATGACTAAACCGTCATTTAACACCTGTGACACACGATGAATGAAATAGACTCGTGGGTATTCCAATTATGACGGTCAGAATCAATTTTAAAAGCTTACTTTTACCGTGATTAGTACATACCATACACTCTTCGTGTAAGTCACGAATGAAGTTCATTTAAAAAGTCGTCAGAGAGAATTCCAGAAAGCTTGTCTGCGCGGGAATCACAAAGTATCTTGCATGATCAAAACAAAAACACAACTGCGGACAAAGACACAAAGAACTGTTTGGTAGCCTCGCAATGTATGTAAATCTACCTAAGTACTCATTCCCAGGTCGCTATTAGCCCCCCTCGGTCAACTTACAGGCCCCACATCTTCAATAAGTAAAGACGATAATTTCAAACAATGGAAATTGAAGCGAAAAGCTTCCAACTGCCCAAGGGTGTTGGGGTATTTCGGTGCAATTCTAACAAAAATGCTTGTTGAGAGACGAAACAAAAACAAAATTTTAATTATGTTTCATCCCGAAAAATGGTTCTGTTAGCGTTAGAAACGTTCAGTTGAGAAATATATTCCCTTGTTTCATTTTTGGCGTCTTTGAATTCGACATCTTGGCTGGGCTACCCAAAGAAGAAGTTCTAGAAGAGTCGATCAGCACACAGCTTGAATTTCCAAGGATATTTTCATGTTATCGTGACGATAGGCCGCCACCGGTCTAATACAAGTGTAATATCTATAGTGTTTTCTGTTTAGAGTTCAAGTAGGGAAAGAGGAACCATATTAGCAATACATTACGTATTTTGACATATGAACCGGCTAAATTTTTTACACGTCCAATGCTGGGATCTCCGTTCCTTATCTTGACACTTAATTTAGATTCCTCTCTAAAAAAAGAATTTTGCCTAACATACCAAGGAAAGTTCTTAGGCGGTCAACCTTCGATTAGTTGGTTGTTTTTTAGGTGTTCCTCTGGGTTTAGAAAATAAACACTTGTACTGAGTAAAGATCAACAGATACACGTGATCAGTGATGATCAAGCAACTAACGGAATCATTTAACAACAATTACTTGTGAGGTTTTCTGGCGCCGATACCGATCTTTGGTCAAGTCATTCACTGGGTTGCAAAAGAATTCAAGATAGGAGACCAACATTTTTTGCGATGAATGGGAATGATTTTTAATTGTAATTTGAAATAAAACCGGGATTGTACTGATTTTGCTTTATTACACCTGTCAAGGAAACGGGCTCCATGCTTTCAAGCAATCAAACCAAATCGATGCGTGACTTTGTCATTGTTATTTTCCAGTCTTTTTTTTTTTTTTTTTTTTTGTTTATTTGTATATTCATTTATTTTTCGGTCTAATTTTTCCACGTGATATTTTCCACCTTCTTGATTGGCCACCTTAATTACGTTGATTTTGGTTTTAAGGTTCGACAGCCAATTGAAAACCCATTTGACATAGCAAAGTGATCAATTCACCACAGCTGATTGCCGGAAATTCTTCACATAGTACTAACTGCACAAACAAACAAAAGCTGGTCAGACAAAATCCAGAATCAACTTTGGTGGATATTTATTGCAGCTCAGCACCGTTGTGGCAATTCACTGTGACACGACCTCAACCTGAGAACTTCTGATTTAAACGTGAGTTTGCAAATTTGATTTTACACTATTTGAAGGCATTTCTTTTTCATACATTCTGGTTATTTTTTCCCGCTTTATTACCATTGGGACATGAGGTAGCCTCCTGATCGTAAGCAGGTTACAGCACGGGAATGTTCACTGGTTTGCTCAACATTTTTTTGTGGGTTATCCAAATGAAGCTAGTATCCATCCAGATAGAGTAGCAATACTCTAAATCACATGCTGCAGACATTCAGACGATAAGCTTCTTGTTCTGGTGTAGTTTAAAAAAAACGGCGCTCAGAGACGACTCGAGTAAGACATAAATTGGTCAGACCCAACCCGGTGTAGGCTTTCCTGTTTTTTGTCGATGATAGTTTGCTTGTTGGTGGGTAGGTCTGCTTTTCCGCTTCGGCAGTTAAAAAGCCAATTCACAAACCCTTTACCTCCTCGATCATATACGCGACAACTGGCGCATGAGGCCCTGTACCGACGAACAATCACACTCACACCTACCCACACGAAAGCACCCGACCACTCAACCCTGATATTTTCTAATCCACTGAGTTTAGTGTTAATCGACTACTTGACTTCTTATGCCGTCTAATTTTGGAGGTTAGAATATCGGTATTTAAGTACGTCACTGATCGTCTTAACCGTTCAAAAGAGCCTTGATTCATGGAAAGTTGATAGGCTAGCTAGAGATCCATGGCTTATCATTCTCTTGCCAAACGAACCGGCCCTTTATTTTACAGTGCAGGAGCAGCGCTCTCTTAACTATTTTAGGACAACACTCGGGCTCAGTTTTTTTAATATCATGTCTGATCTTATTCGAGAATATTTATACGTCAATTTTGCCGCCAGAATTCGAGATACATAAGGGAAAAAAGTTTGAATTGTGGAGGAAAACGTAATGTCTTCAGGTGCAGTAACCTCCAGGAAGTACAACAGATATTTAAGGACATTTTTGTCCCTTACATTCACAAAAAAGCTCTCGGTTATTCATTTTTCCAACGGCTCTATGTTTTGTTTTCAACTCATATATGTGCACTGAATATTTAATATCTTTAATTAACAATGTCAAATATTTACAACAAAATGCCGTTTCTGTGGGATTAATGTGAACTTTATTAAAGGTTTTATTTGTTTTCCGTGGCAGATTCTTGCAGTTACCCAGTAATACTAAATTTCTGCTTCGAGTGTTTGATTACTTTCTCATCGCTTCCAATAGCAATTTCCTTTAGCACTACAGTGTTATTGTTCTCTGTAATTCTCTTAATGACTACTGAGTTGAGCTGAACCTTTTATCAGTTTTATTATTTTTCCGTTTTACTTTCGAGTTGAGTTATAAGAAGTCAATATTAAACTGATGCTATTTCTCCTAAGTCTCCAGGAATGGCGTTTAAACTCTTCGAATTATTCTTCTTTCGTTAGTTTCACCTTTTGCTTAGCGTTAAAACCAATTTCAAAACCTGCTGACAGCATCTTAGGAGTTCTGAGTTAACCGAGATGTTTGTGTGGGAATAGTGCGCAGAGTTAGTTTTCACGTTACGTAATCATCGTTGGTTCGGTCGTTTCACCGTTACCGTTCCTGATTTTTTTTTCACGCAGTCTCTGCTGTTATTTGTGCATGTTTTTAGACGGAGTCTCAACACCCTAATCCAAACAACTGAAAAACTAGCCTTTCACCCTCGTTAAATTTCGAAATGCGAAATTTGTGAATTATATTCATCAATTTTTGATTGTGATTAGACCATCAGAATAAAGAGGCCATCCTTTGTCTCGACAACAAAAGGGCCACCGACTCAGAGGTACTACTGTTTATTGTTTGTCTAAAACTGATCTAAAGTCAAATATGTCCATGAGAAAAACTGGATTTTATGAAAACCACATCTTAGTCACTTATGGATATCGATTAAACCGGAAAGAATCCAGGACGCTACAGTAAAACACACAACAAATTAGAAGAAAGTCATTGTGATTTGACGACTTTAAGTGGGGAGCTGGTCATCTGGTCGGGCCAGTCTCAAAAATTCGTAATTTTTTTTATCAGCGCTGCACTCTGAATGCGCCGAAGTCTTCAAGTCGCGATTTGGAAGACCTTAGTGTAAAGTTTAGAAGTTTACAAAACTCAACTTTAATGTAACTGTGCAATCCAATGATTGAATAACAGGGTAATTTACTATTATCAACTGAGTTGAAATGTAAATTGGCCACCGGAAAGAGTTTAAAGGCTGACGTTTCGAGCGTTCGCCCTTCGTCAGAATGATAGAGCAATACTGAGAACCCTTTCGCTCTGACGAAATGCTAACACTTGTAACGTCAGCCTTTAAACTCTTTACGGCGGGGCTAATTTACGTTTTCAACTCAGTTGATAACACTAAATTACCCTATTAGACTCTCCCACCAACGCAGTACCACAATTTCTTTAGAAACTTACCTCCTTTATTCAATGATTTAACAAGTCGGAAAAATCCTTTTCCATCAAATATTGTTCTGAGAACTCGTAAAATACAGAGCCTCTTAAAGAAATCGCTCGTGTGTGATATGGTTTACGGTTATTTCACCTTTTGTGTCCAGTTTTTAAAGCTTGAATGAGTTTAAAATCCTTGAGAAAAACATTTTTCAGTCAGACAGATCGGCAAAAAAAAGTCACAGTCTCATACACTCCATAGTTACGTAATCACTGCTCATGTTTAGAGGACAGTGATCACGAGTATTAGTCAGGGGTGTAATGATTGATGAGGTCATTTGATGTTGGCTCAACGATCATTGCTGCCCACTGATCCAGAGTAATGACTGATAGTCCTTGCTTTTGGGATTTTTGCAATTTTTTGATTAAAAGTATGTATCTATCACAGGCTATTTTTACTTCCAGTCCGAAATTTTTTAAGAACGAGAGACAAACTCGTTCTGTTCTTTCACAACAAAAATTCCGTCAGCAAAGTTAAAAATAATAATTCCGGTTCCAAAGTCCAATGACGAGAATAATGCAGACAATATCGCAACAATGGCGGCCTCAGAATGCCCCAACCTACGTGTCGGCTACAGACGTCAACAAAATACGTGACGAAAGGGAAGTACGTTGATTTCTTAACCAAAGAGATGTTCAATGTGTTCAGTATGGTCAGCCCCCCAATCCTGACCCTATTTCATACACCATTCACCACTTAAGTTTACAGACCGAACTTCTGATGATATTCACATGTTCACCCCAATTTTCAAGATCATCACTCAACAGATGGGAAAGACTTGATAGGTTAAGAGGGCATTTTATTTCGATTACCTCTCGACCGCTCTTTGCCACACGTAAACCACAAGTCAATACCATTGGTGCATTTTCCGATATACCAGTTTTAATATTTAAATGTTGTTAGGGAAAAAGCTTGGCAAGCTAGGGGAAATTACGGAGGCTAAGTTTATAGCAAAGTTGACCGACGGAAGACGATACTTGGACGATCCAGGTTTCTCAGCCAGACAATTTTTCGCAGTACAAATCGAGCGCTAGTATCAATATTTTGCTTTTTAAGAGGGGGCTATCTCAAAATATCAATTAACACCGCTGCCTTTTAAATATTCCCCCCTTTTATGGCAAGCCTGGCTCGGTCAAGGTCAAACAAACGTAATAATCAACAAAACCGTTGCACAGGTGCATGAAATAACAAACAAATAAAAAAAACAAACTAAAAGAAAAAAAATGGTTTGTTGCCGTCGTGGCTAAATTCAACACCATCATGAACAATATCAGAGACAAATGTTTAAAAATATATGTATATTTTTGAGATCAGAGCCTCTTAAATGGCCAACACTCAGACAGCCCATGATTTCGTGGAGTGCCACTTGACGCCGTTAAGTGTTCCGATGACTGCAGTCATTATTTTCTCATTCATCTTTTATATACGCCCACTGGTAATATGCAATTGAGTCACCAAGTCTTTCTCGTACAAATTTATTAATTAACTATGCTCCCCGCTAGTTATCTTAGCTGTGCTCCGATAAGCCTTGACTTTTGACCCCGCTACTCAGGCTTTTCCAACATTGCCGGTATAATCTTGGCGAATTGTGGGAAGAGTACGCATTTAATTTATATGTTGATCGGCATGACAAACTACTTTCATGATATTCACCTAAAAGGGTCGACGACTCTAGAGAGTAATTTTATAAGCAGAACGGATGTAAGGCGGGCGAGTCGCCCTCACACTGTCAAGTGTGAGTTTAGCAAATGCACTAGCATAGTTATGTTTTAATAATTTAAAATGTAAACTGAATTTGTTGGCATTATTGACTGAATGATTAAGAAGCGTTTTAGAGTCTTACTTGCCGATGTAACTGATAATAAAACAGTGGTGCCAAACCGCAGATCAATATTTCTAATATTAGTCTAAAAATATTAAGTGAAAGAAATACACAAAGCAGTTAACAATAGTGGTTCATTATTTGCAAAGCGTAAGTGCGGCCTCTCCAAATAGCAAAATAACTCCTTTATCAACTTGATTGCCCCCCTTTATATATTTTCAAACAAGCACATAATAATAATATCGTATGAAATCCAACGTTTTTTCAAGCTGTTGAAAAAATTGAACAGACTTTGAGAGACACAAGCGGGTAAAAAAAACGAGGTCATAAAACCACTATTTCACAGGTAGTAGTTGCTAATGCCTCTTCTAAGTTTAGCTGGAGATAAGAATCATACTCTCCAACTCCAAACAAAGTCTTTTGAGCGCAAAACGTTTGTCTATTGAATTTAAAAATGTTATTTCTATTTTGGCCAGTTTTTTTCATTATTGACATAAGAGCTGTGTCTCAAAATGCTAGGTTCTACCTTTGCCGAAATTAAAAAATTAAACCTCTCCTTGATAATAAAGAAAAAACAAAAATAACAAAGCCTATGAATGAAAGAAATTCAGAAGCGTCTCTTATACGATTGTTTTTGTTTAGTTGCAAAAGTTTTCTGCGATAACAGAAATTCTGAAACTCACACGAGCTGAGCGCGAGAACTACTTTTTTAATTAAGGTTCCACGCAAGGTTGTAAAGCGGTGCTCTATATCTGTCCTTTGGGAGACAAGAGGAAAGCATACTTAACACTTCTTGAAAAGAAAAGCTAAGCCCTCAACATAAGTTGACATGGAAACTCTGAAAGCTAATTAACAACGCATGCTAAAATCATGTTGATTACACAATAATACATACCAAAATAGGCAGATTATTCTCTAGAACAATGAGTCATTAATCGGGCGGCCAATCAGATTGTAGCGGATACCCAAGGGTCTTCTACTATTTAATCTGCCGCCCCACTAATCTTTCCTTCATTCGTTAGGCAGGCAAGGTTCGGAAGCGTCAAGGTAAGCTATCCTACAATCCTGTTTTTCTCAGTCCTAAATGCTAACTTTACTAAGCCTAACAGCAAAATACCCTTATCTACTGACTTCTCCCTGTGTATCTGGCCAACCAGTAAGCATAAACTAACAACCTATGCCAACCAGTGACGACGTTGAGACAGCGCCTTAGATAACTTGTAGTACCGAGTAACCAGTGTAGTGGCGAAGATATCGGTTTTTCGAACATATCGTTTTCCCTTAGTATCGCTTAAATCGATCCTAAACGGTCTAAAATTTTAATACCTCCACGGAATGAGTGGATATTTATAAAAAGTGCGCTAAGTGGTCTTGGATTACATCATTACATCTGCTAGCTAAATGCGCATCTGAAATAAAACCCTTCACTCGGCCCTATTCCGCTAACTTTTGAGTTAAACAGTCAAATGGAAGCGTTTGATATGCCTCCTAGCTTTTTTCGACATGAGACCTGAACAATCAAACTCTTCCTGGTCGAAATAAGTTTCTCAGGCGCCGTCAGTGGTCGCCAGACGGATACCAGTGCATCGCCATAATTTCTGCCCATGTATTCCTTTATTAGCTGTTGTAATATTTTCCCATGACATGTTGGACGATATTGCGTAGTGAAGTTGTCTATGTTTTTGGCTATTGGCTTTCTTCTTACGCCATGGTACTAAGGAAACCAGCGTAGCGGATAGTCTCGGTTGCACTCAATGAAATAATGGCGGGAGACCAACGCCTCAAGCGCATTAAAAAAACTTCAGCTGTTCAGACTAGCACTCGAAAAATTGCACTTATCGATTTGAGCAGTTGATCCATGTACAAAAACAGATGCAAAAAGGATAGTAATTAAGCCTATATATCTTATATTTTCTAACGAGAGCGAGAAGTGGTTTCGATTACAATATATTTTTTTTTTTGGCTTTATTTGGTGCATTCTGAATTTCTTTCATGCATAGGCTTTGACCAAGCTTAGTGTTATTATACCGAATAGAAAGGCTTAAAAGTTTTTAAAGCGTTCACTGCCAACTGAATAAGGTATTGTTGAAAACTTGTCTAGTTTTTCCTGAATGTGAGAGCTGAAAGGAAAGTGCGTATATCACTGCATGACGGAGCTCTGTTTTTCTCAAGAACCTCTTGTGCTACGCCGGCGGAAAAGGAGGCACTTGGTGGATTTTAGAAGTCCACAAAAAGACAGAGATAAACCACCGCAGGTTTCAACCACCAAGACTAACGTTTTGTTGATATTCATCCAAGTATATCAATTTAGCGCCTGTTTGTGCTTTGACAGCCGTCGGAATAATTAAAGTTTAAAAGAATAAAAGCGAATATGGGGTTTGATTCATAATAGCTTCTAATCCGAGGGATAACAGAGTCGCCAAAACATTCATGAGTCTAAATTGTCAAAATAATCATGGTATAACCCAGACGGTTTTTTTGTTATATTTAAAAGTAATATATTAAGTTTTAAAAAGAAGCATGCAACCACAAGGATTAACTTAAAATGGAATTTAAAAGTAAAATACAACTTTTCTGTTCTTTTTTTGCACAGGAAAAAAAGCAAATTAGTAAACCATGGCCAAACTTTTGGTGTTAACATTGATTGGTCTAACTGGAATTTCTATTGGCTTGGGAGCCGACAGTAAGTATTTTAATTCTCTAAAATAAAACGATAAGTTCGAAATACCTCTGTATGCCTTCCAAAGACGTTTGATTATGGTAAATGATACTATACTGTTGTTGCCTCTGTGTATGGCGGTCGTGTAGCAGCATTTTATTTTTTGTAGCCAAGTTTATCGAGATAAATTCATACAAGGAACTAGCGAGTAACTTATCAGAAAGTCTGGTTGCCTCAGCCATCGTTTAGAACTTTGTGTGCTCTGAATAGAAGTGTTCCCTGACTAAACCCCTTCCAAGAGAAATAAGCCCCTACGAATTTTCGGCTGATAGGGTTAGTTATAAATGTCGAACAAATGAATTCGAAATTACTTTCCTAGATGAATGTTCCTCTATAATTCCCAACGATCACAATTCTCGACACGCAGAATTTAGGAAAAACACTGTCTCATCAGTTCTTTATGTGTGTTTCCGAAATTTAAAAAACTTGATTCCCTAATTTTCAGGCTGGAGCTACTGCAGTAATTGTGCTGATGGTAAGTCAATGTTACTACCTTCCTTAATGTTTAGTTGTGTGGTTCGATAGTTCTTCTTTTAGGTTAAGTGGAAGCCCCTTGGCTGTAGAACTCATACCCCTAGAGTATCTCAACAGGGCTAGTGACACGCGGTGTTGTGGTATTTCACAATAAATGAAGAAAAATCTCAACCTATCGCCCCACTGTTATTCGGTGACATACGTGCTATCTATAGCTATTTTAGTATGATTATTTTTTAACGAAGAAATGGGCACACGCACCCCTTAGAACCTTCTGAACCCACGCCCTTGAGTGACGTCCATTACACTTCTCGTGTCAAAATAAATTTAAACCTTTTCTGCCATTTTAGGCCCGTTGAGATGGACAGGCGACTGTGCCTCTGGGAAAAGCCAGTCTCCTATAGACATTACTTCAACCAATGCAACCTACAAGTCGTTCTCAGCCTGGAACTTGCAAAACTACGGAAAAACACTCTCGGCTAACTTTACTCAAATGAACACTGGCTCTGCTCTAAAGGTGTCAATACCAGAAAACATGTTCTTTGTCAATGGTGGAGGCCTGGCGGGTAACTACACCACCGCTCAGTTTCACCTTCACTGGGGACCCAGCAACAAAAAAGGTTCAGAGCACTACCTGGATGGACAGCAGTTTTCCGCAGAGGTGCGTACAGAGAAAGTTTCTCTGCAAAATTTTCATGAGTGATTTCTGAATGAAAGACTTGACTTTAAAAACTGTTCAATAACTCTCACACTCAAGGCTTCCATATTAATCCTGCATTCAAAAAGGCGAAATTCTACAATTTACGATTTAATCAGCCATTGCATGTAAAAGAATTTTTCCTCTTGGCATCTAGGGGGCAGTTATGTCCATTCTATGATAAGGGAATGTTATTGCCATCATTCCAATGGCACACCTAACATTCCTGATCATTCCTTTCACTTAGATCCATTTCGTCAGCTACAATGTCAAATACCCAAACTTGACCTACGCCGCTACAAAGTCTGACGGTTTGGCTGTCCTTGGTGTCTTCTTAGAGGTATTTGAGTGCTAAGTCACGTGTAATGATGCATAGGATCTTAGATCACGCGCAAACTTCAGTGACGCAACAGATTAGAAACCTTGGCAAAGACCTGAAAAGACGTGAGCCAATGTTGCAATTGCGCACCAAGTTGTACGGACGTTCTGGTCTAGAGGTCGAAACAGAAGTTAGAACGAGAGGCGTCAACCTTTGTGCACACGTATACTCTTGATTCGGGAGGTTGATTCTATCGTAGCAAGCGCTATATCATCTTCTGCTCAAAATATGTGCCTATCAGATTCATTTCGCGTTTAAAAGTGTTTTTGAACAACACTAGATGGACTAGATATTGTCAAACTAGCACACGCTTCGCAGTTTTCCAGTTAATTTGCTTAACACGATATCTCGTACAGATTTAGCAAAAATTTCTAAAATGAACAGTGATATCGGCGGCCCCCTTAGAGAGAGTTTTCCATTAAAAGTTAGATCAAAAAAGAGAAAGTTGTGATAACAATGAAATTGTAATTTCATAATTAATTTGTCAAAACGAATTGCGTGCGTTTCGTCTGGAATCCTCTTACGAAGGCGTGAATTAGCTGTCTATCGGCTAATAGAGAGCAGCTGAAAATGACATCTCAATTTGGCCTAACAGTTATTCTATAGAAATAAATGGTACCATTCTTATAATGTCCTCTATTTACCCGATGTTTCCTTCAATAAAACCGTTCCCTTTCAGGTCGGAAGTGCAAATCCTGCTTATGACAAATTCCTCAATTATGCCTCGAAAGTTGTCAACAAAAGTAAGTCTTATTTCTTCTGTTACTCACTCAAATTGTGTTTCGTTCCAACAAGCCTGTTTTTATTTTTGGACGAGAAGATCACATAGAGTGAGTTAATCACAAATTCAGGGAGATGTTTAATTTAGTGGTTTGAGGCGACTTTTAATACCTCTACTCTTGAAATCTCTTTCAGACATGTACTAAACCTAAACACTTTCAGTTTTTTCGGAGAAAGTCGACAGGGTCTTTAGCTTCATCATACCCAAATGACTTTCTTTGTTGTTTTTATTAATTATCATTTTCTATTATTTTACAGGTGCAACTGTGCACGTTCCTGCTTTTCCTTTCTCTCCCCTTTTCCCATCCAACACGAGCAAGTTCTACAGGTACCAAGGCTCATTAACAACACCAGGATGTTACGAGTCTGTAACATGGACAGTTTTCCACGATGTCGTTGAGATATCCTCATCTCAGGTGAGCGTTACGATTAGAAAGTCCGTTTTCTATGAAAACAAGACGACCCAGTGATTGCTCCCGTATAATTCTGCATATTGAATCGAGGATTTCTCCATCTCAGAGATTTACCTTGAGGCAAAAACGGGTGCCCCTGTGGCAGGCAGAAACTAACCCCAAACTACTACATCTCATAAGTTGTTTTGAAATCAAACGACAGCAAATGCGTGTGCTGTTTTTGTTGTTGTTTTTGTCTTCATTGAGCGGATTTTGGCAGCATAGCGCTAAAATAATTCTTTTCATCTATTAACAGGTTAGCGCCATGCGCCGCTTGATGATGAACGGCACTGACTACATTGGGGAGAACTACCGCCCGACTCAGGACCTACACACCCGCACAGTATATGCGAGCTTTGATGTTCCAGCTGCTACCCAGACTCCAACGGTAGACGGTCCGGTTGATTCAGCAGTAGGTGTCAAGATGTCCACAGGTCTATTGCTGTTGATGTTGTTTGGAACGCTGATCTTTTATTAAAATGGCTCCTTCGCATATATCTTGATGCCAACGGACTAAGACTTGCTTTTTGCTAGTGTGCTGTATAATCTGCGATATACGGTTGTGATAAATAGATAACAGGCGTTCTTTGTTAAATAAGGCTTGTATATGTACAAACTCGAGGAAGGAACTGGGGGAGAAAAACGGCAGCAAACCTTATTCCATTACTTTATTGTTGCTTAAATCCGCAGGAGGGTCCCCTGACGGCGGACCTTCCCATCATCTGACAAAACAGGCCCATCTTAAAATGAGCTTCTGAAAGGGTAACATGACTACGCTGTTTATCTCAAGACTTTTCCCTGTACCTTGTACCAGCCTTATTTATTCATTACTATCTCTAGTATTTATATCAACGGAATCTTGTTTGCAACTTTATGTCTAATGTGATGCTGTATTTGAGGATTTCATGCTGTGAGAAAACTGAAATTATTACGCCCATCAATGTAGACGATATTTGGAAGACTTTCCAGCCGTTGTGAGAAAGCGATATTTTTTCAGACAGAACTTTGGAGTAAGATCATTATTAACTCATTCTATCAAAGTTTATCTATTTCCTGTCTTGGAAAAATTTGCCTCTTCCGCTGAGTCTCCGTTCAGTGTGTGATTTGTGATTAATAAAAGTCTCTTTTTGTATTATATAAGTATATATTTTGAGTTTTCCCTCATGTTGTCAGTCGATCTATACCGAATCAGGAGGAACATCTTACCATCTGGCTTCGTCATAAAGCAAAAAAATTAAGAACGTCGTTCTTGTTTTGAAAAGAAACAACAGCGCACATAAAAAAAAAAACAAAAAACAAAAAACCAATTATAACAAAGAACAAAGCATAGCAAAATTAAGATATCGGCAGAAACCTCTCTCTTAAGCTCTTGTCAATTTTTTTTTTTTTTTTGGTGGGGAGGGGGGGCAATTAAATATAGTTTTCCGATGTGACTGAACAGCAACTTACAAAAAGAAATTAGCTCCTGCTGTGTTCGGTCGTCATTAGTTAGACAGTTGCCGGAAGGATTGTACATAAGAACGCAGATGTAACACAGTTTGAAAAGAAAAAAAAGTTTACACCTTAAGGTTCTCATGGAAAACTTGAAAGTTAATTGGCACCGCATAATAGGATCGTCCTTATTACCCAATCAAAATATTTGGATAATTTTGAACAATAAGTCGTTCATCGGGTGGTGTATCGAAGTGTAGTACATGCTCACCAGTCCTTCACTCTTACAAGCTCGGTTCTCACTCCATCAAGCATCTGTATCATCGGCTGCTCAAACTGAAAACTGAAAGACGGCTTGACAGTTTTAAGGTAAGCTTTCGTTTAATCGTATTTTTCTTCGTTTAAAACAAAACACCCTGACACACAGACTACTCTTGGAGTATCTAGCTACAGAAGGCAGAATGAAGAAAGTAAGAAACACTCAGTTAGTGGCACGCACCTAAAGAACTTCTTGCGAAGTGGCGCCTTTAGTATTTCGACGTCGCAGATATAATCATGGTCACTGCACACCGCATGCTACGTAGCTAGCATCCTTACCTTAAACTGCACCACTGATCACCATAAAACCGTAAATGTATCGAATCTCAAATCGTGCTGCCATTCTTAAGAAGCACAAGGTAGTCTTTCAACGCTTTACATTATAACGCATCACTGCTTTCCAAATTCCGCCTTGGAGTAGACTTTTATCGTGTTCCTTCCGGTGGGAAAAGCTTCTTTTGACTTAAGCCTCTTAATGTACCTCTAATTTCGAGTGTAGTCTATGAAATAAGGGTTCGAAATCTGTCGGAAGGTTAAGGTGGCGATGCACCCACTGCACAATCTTTATTAGAGTGTTGCCGAGTTATAAATACCAACGTAGTTACGGAAATTTAATGATGATAACGGAAGTCACCGAACTCGTTTCAAATAAGTTAGAGGCACATAAAGCTGAAATCAAGACTGTCATCTTGAGGTTTTATTATTACTATGGCAACCTTAAATGAAACAGACTACTCGACAAAAAATTGGACTTTCCTTACTCCACTCTCGTAAAAGTGTGGGAATATCGATTCTTCAAAGAATTGGTGTGTAAAAGAAATTTTGAACCATAAGACACCCGTACAACTTGCATTTATGTGGCTGTGATTAACCGATATAATCAAACAACTTTTGAAGAGTCCTTTGCAATTTTTTTGGTTGAGAAACTCAAAACGAGCTCGGACAAAATCACTTGAAGTGTCTCACTTTTCTTGTTAGTAAGACAGATGCTGCTCTGTGTACACTTTTGAATCCATTATTATGCAAAAAATGTAAACAAGATGTTCCTTCAAAGTAGGAATTTGTTTTGGGTAGCGCATCTTTGCAATATATTACGTTCGACTCCCCACAGCTTGGAGCCTAACTGACTCAAACATCCTAATAATTCAGATAACTTACACCAAAATCGATATCCCTGAATTCCCGTTACCCATTCACTGTAATTTAAACCTCAGCAACTCGAACCCTCGATGACTCAAGCCTCCAGAAAACAAGTTTACGTTTCCCTTCAGGGTATTTTCTAGACTATAAGAACTTACCATGTATACTAAAAAGTTGACATGCTTAAAAAAATGTCGCGGATAGATTTCAAGTCAGTAAAGGAATATCATGTGTCAAAGCTAGTCCGATTTTAATCATTAACTCTGTTGAAAACTTAGACAGCGACTTTTCAATCATTGTTTCTTGGTAGGCTCTAAACTCATTCTTCATCCACATTTGTTGAATACAAATGGAACTTTCATTAGTGAAATTTTTTCACTTTGTCACTTAATAAAAATCCAATTGGTTGTTGAAGCGGCGAACTCCTGTCAATTATTAGCCCCTAGTGATCATCCTTATGCTGGTCACGTACTCCTCTGCAACATTTGGAAAAGCTCGCACTATGTGTCAAATGGATTCGCTCGGTATGCTCAGAACGTTCCCGGCCATTGTTTTAGTCATTGTCAACATAGGAATGTTGATGACAATTGAACTCCAGCCTTCCTTCCACACGCCTCCGAAACGCCCCCTCATCGCGGGTGATTTACTTACGCAGCAAACAAACTGAAATATTCTCTGTTTCAGAGTTACAAAAAAAAATTTCTTCCTTTTTCCTTATCTCTCCCGTCCAAGAGAACATCGTGTATGATTTAATGGATTTGTGGTTCCCTTGGTCAGCGGAAGATAGCGACAATTCGAGAAAAGAAGAAAACAGAAGAGAACCACTTTTTAATTCCAGACAGAATCGTTTCCGCTGCTTGTCTCGATTGACACTCTCTTCTAGCATGCTGAACTGACGAATTATATCTACTTCACTCAACATCTTCTAAGAAGACAGCAATTTTATTTATTCTAAACACGCATACTATGGGGTTATTAAAACAAAGAAACACTATAAAGAGAAAAACGCCACAGGGCACATTGACACAGTAGACTAACCTCGTTGTCATTCTCAAAATCTGGGGAAGGTGCAACTAATATTATTGGTTTAAATTTACTTAACCATCATCTTAACTTAGCGTGGGAATCTTATGCTGTCAGATGATAAAAAAGGAAATACGATAGTCTGTCATTTTTTCTTTATATCGAGCGCAGCTGTCAGATGTTGGTATCGCTTGCGAAGGAATGTCTGTTTCTTTCAGCATTTTTTTAGGACGCATGCTTTCTGCGTGTCCAACATGCTCACCTTGCATGAACAACATTACGTAACCTGCGTGCACTTGCCTTTCTGTAAAATCACGACGACCTCCTACAAGACAGAATCAAACAAACAATATTAAATTATCCCAACAGTTAAATAAGCCGGAAAACAAACCCCGTTTTGACGGACATTCACACAGTATTTGACAAGTACTTCGGTGATATTAGGATCTCAGGCAAAATTGAAAATTTACACGCATGCTGGGAGTTACGAAAACTTGGCGACAGTGTAATTACACGTGGAACTCATCATTTCCCCCTAATCTTCTTTCTCTAGCCACTAGATAGAGACTTTAATTGTCATACGGCAGTCTCGATATTGCTAAAAACTCACATGATAGATGTGAAGGAACCCTGAGAGATGCAGAGACTGTCTGCGGTACTTTAACCCTTTCCTTCCAAAAATGATCTATACTAAAATTCTTAACAGATACTAAGGACAAGCGATAAAGAGATGTATTGACGATGGTTTAGAGAATAAGATTTTAGATCTTGGAAATCAAAGGTAAACATACCTTTACTCCCCTCCCCTCCCCTACTCCTTGTTTTAGAAACTGGTCGTTTTCTAAACATCTCCTTCATTTCTCATGTTAACCTTCAATTTTATTCGTCGTCTTCGATGTTATTGACTAAAGGAATGAATAACACCTTGCGTAATGTTTGACACAAATGCGCAAAGGCAATACACCCACTACATGATGCTGCGGAAATCAACTCCAATTTTTTGTTCATAAATTAAATCTGCGGGTGGCTGGCTGCGAACAATCAAAAATCGTCGAAAGCACTAGGTCATGCACAAGTCATGGTTCGTGACGCTGACCTATCTGAAATATATTAGGTTTGTTGGAGGGCTTTCAAGCCATTGCATATTCCGCACTCGTCTCTTTCAGTCCGGATACTCTAAGCTGTTGATCACACCCTAAACTACTTCGCAAGGTAAAGTGTTTAATAACTTTTTTTTTTTTTGTTGCATAGTCAAGAATGATCTCAATTCTCTGTGCTGCTAACAGTTAATAATCGGCAGAGTTGACAGTTTCTGCATTAAATGATCTACAGTGTCATTAGAGATAGGACGCGCTTGACGTTTTGCACCTATTTTGTTCGCAACCACGAGCGCGCTACGCGCTTAAAATTATAACCAATGTTAAGCTTCTCTCAGATGTCTAGGTAGAAATTTTGTGAACCAAAGACTTATTTGGGCTAGCTATCTTTTTGTACTTTAGTAGACCCTAATGCATGCCACGCTCTCCTCGTCGCGGGTTGATAGTTTCAGTGAGGAATAGAACGCTTTTACGAAGCTTTCAAACTAAACTGTTGGTGTGGTACAAACGCTTCAAATCATGTTTTCCTCCATGAAAAATCTGCAAACTCGAAGCGTTTGCGCTTAAAATTTGCGACGTGACATTGGTAAATGTTTTCTTTAGTTTCCCTCACCTCGTCCAGTCTTAGAAACCGCTTACAGTTTCAAAACGTCGACGTTATGTCCAGGCAATCGTTTGATAGGACATTGTGATAACCAAATATAGGAACATTTCATCGGTTAGAGAAGTAATCTAGGCGAGGTCAGATTAGTCATATTCTTGACTGTCCACAAATATTTACGTCGCAATTTTACCACAGATTGTTATATTACTGAGAGTCGCTGAAAAGTACGATAGGAATCCTTAAATCCTAAGGTTTTCAACAAATCTTAGTTGAGCTGTGTACTTCTAACTCAAGGTGTAGTTTTTGATCAGACAGGAAACTTAAGAGCTTATCAAGAGACGCAGGAAATTTTAGAGGAGTTAATCGGAGGCGCAACACGATATGCTTGAAAAGGCAAAATTTCAACGACGTGATAAGGAAATTCAAGGTGTGATGGCTATTTAGTGGTTGCGCTCTCCTTCGTGTAGCTTCCAATTGCACCTAGTTTCGAGTCGGAATTTGATGGATTAAAAACATGTTCG